CGCTCAAAAGAAAAGTGAAATTGAAGAAGGATGGGGAGGCTGTTTTGGTGGATTTGAAGTATGAAAGGTTACCACACTTTTGCTTTATTTGCGGGCTGATGAATCATGTGGTTCGAATGTGTCGGTACCGGTTTGAGTTTGCTGCGAGTGGCAGAGTCAAGCCCTTTGGGGCATGGCTGCGGGCAGGCTTCAAGAAAGGAAATATCAATAGAGACAGTAAGTGGCTAACAAGTGGGGAAGGCAAATTTTTATTTGGCAGACCTTCACAAGCAGATCAATGGGCTCTGGTCCATGATGAGGATGACATAGAAGGAGATCCACCTATGCAGAATGATGGGGCAGTGGCAAAAAAGAGGAAGGTTCCGGATGGGAGACTGGAAAATACACAATCGGAAGAACAGGGCATGGAATTCTCTTATTCAAAAAACGGGCTAACGGTGGGTTCTGGTTCCCAGACCCGCCGGGAACAATGAGTTGTCTTAGTTGGAACTGTCGGGGGCTTGGTAACCCGGCGACAGTTCAAGCACTGGTGGACGTAGTTCACTTGAAGCGGCCAACGTTGATTTTCTTAATGGAGACATTTGCAAGTAATAACACGGTGAAGTTTATTAAAAGAAAGATTGGTATGGACCATGTTTTTGCGGTGGATAATAATGGACATAAGGGCGGTCTGGCATTACTGTGGGGGAACGGAGCTCAAGTCGAGGTTACTGGGTCTTCGAACCACTACATTGATGGGCAGGTTAGACTAGAGGTGGGAGCTCCCACTTGGCGTTTTACAGGATTTTACGGCTATCCGGAAAGAAATAGACGGAGGGAATCTTGGGACATTCTTAAAAAGTTGAGTTTAGGTGAAGATCGCCCATGGCTTGTTATGGGTGATTTTAATGATCTTATGTTCGCTTCTGAGAAAAAGGGGCATGTCCCTCATCCACCATGGTTGTTAAGAGGTTTTCGAGAGACAGTTTGGGAGAGCGGCTTAAGGAATTTCACTTTTCAGGGCTACCAGTTCACTTGGGAACGGTGGAGAGGGTCTCCAAACTGGGTAGAGGAAAATCTGGATCGTATTTTGGTGTCTGAAAGCTGGCTTGATATTTTTGGGGAGGCTGTAGCAGAATCTCTTGAGGGAGCCCCTAGCGATCATTTGGCGCTCTTTATAAAAATTTTCCCAACCCAAAAAATTAAAAGAAGGCGCAACTTTAAATTTGAGAACGTTTGGCTCCGGGAGGCTCACTGCCGAGAGATAGTAGCACGAAGTTGGGGGCTGGTCCGAGATTGGGGTATTATGGAGCATGTTGCCTCCTGTAGTAAAGCGGTCGGGGATTGGGGCTATGGAAAATCTGGCTCTTACGGAAAACGTATTTCTTTTTGCAAAAAAAGATTAGAGCATCTTCGTCGACGATTGGATTCATGGAGTATTGAGGAGTTTCAACGAGTCAAACAAGAATATCTCGAGTTGCTTGAGAAGGAAAATATTTATTGGAGACAAAGAGCCAAGGAATTCTGGCTACAAGGAGGTGATCTTAATACTCGTTATTTTCATAATTCAGTCAAGCAACGCAGATGGAAAAATAGGGTGGAGGGCTTCAGACTAGAGGATGGTCATTGGGAGAATGATAGGGCGGAAGTGGGTAAATTAATTGGGGATTATTTTAATAATCTTTTTTCTGCAGGATCTGGACGAGACAATTTCATTTTTAGTTGTGTCCGATGTAGACTGGAGGAGCAACATAATATCGTGCTTCTCAGACCTGTCCGTGGTGAAGAGGTTAAAGAGGCCTTATTTTCTTGTTTCCTGATAAGTCTCCTGGACCAGACGGCATGAGTCCGGGTTTTTATCAGCACTTCTGGGACGTAGTGGGTCCGGATGTCATCAAGTTTTGCAGTGAAGTTTTCGAATATGGTAAGCTCCCTGAAAAAGTAAATCATACTAATATTGTGTTGATTCCTCAGAAGGAGAAACCGGTTTCCCTGGGGGGCTGGAGGCCGATTGCCCTTTGTAATGTGTTGTATAAAATTTTTTCTAAACTTCTGGCCAACCGCATGAAAAATTTACTTCAATTTTGTATTTCGGAGCAACGAAGTGCTTTTATTCCGGGTAGATATATTGTGGATAATATCATGTTAGCTTTTGAGTCCCAGCATTTTTTAAAGTGTAAACGACAGGGGCGAATGGGTTTAGTGGGACTCAAATTAGATATGAGTAAGGCCTACGACAGAGTTGAATGGCCTTTTCTGGAAGGAATGATGAGGAACCTGGGATTTAATGAGAGGTGGACTCAGTTGGTTATGGAGTGTGTTACCTCGGTCACCTACTCTATCCCGTTTGATGATTCTGAGATAACTCTTTCAAAACCAGGGAGAGGGTTACGACAGGGAGATCCTTTGTCACCATATCTTTTTCTGATTGTCGCGGAAGGTTTAAGTGCTCTCCTACGTCGATATGAATACATGGGGCGTTTACATGGTGTTTCCATTGCTCGAGGGGCACCTATGATTTCTCATTTATTTTTTGCAGACGACAGCCTGTTATTTTTTAGAGCCACGCATGAGGAAGCTTCATTGATCAAGGAAGCATTATCACATTATGAGAGGGCCTCAGGGCAGGTAATCAATTTTAATAAATCTAAGGTATTTTTTAGTACTAATGTGGTGGCCAGTTGTCGAGAGGGGCTTGTTGATTTGCTTGGCGTGGGGCTGGCGGGGGACAACAAAAAATATTTGGGTTTGCCGACTTTGGTGGGAAGGAGTAAAAAAGAGATCTTGGGTTATCTTCATCAGAGGGTGGTCAATAGAATTAATAATTGGAATAATAATTTTTTATCCAAGGCTGGTAGGGAGGTTCTCTTGAAGGCTGTTATTCAGGCAATGCCGACTTACGCTATGAATGTCTTTTTGTTGCCTATTGAATTGTGCCGTGAGATTGAAATAATTATGAATGACTACCGGTGGAAAGGAAAATCAGGAAAAGGAATTTGTTGGAAAGAATGGAACTCCCTTTGTAAGCCGAAACCAGCTGGGGGCATGGGACTTAGAAGACTTCGGGAGTATAATTTGGCTATGTTATCTAAGCAAGCTTGGAGGATTTTTACATGTCCTGATTCTCTTGTGGGAAGGGTTTTAAGGCCAGGTATTATTCGAAGAGCACTTTTCTAAAGGCTAAAATAGGAAATAATCCTTCTTTTATTTGGCGGAGTTTATTTCAAACTCAAGAGATTATTCGAGAAGGTTATCACTGGAGGGTGGGAAATGGACATTTTATCAATATTTGGGAGGAACCTTGGCTTCCGGACAAGGGGAATCCGAGAGTGATTTCGATGGCAGGTGAAGGACTACATGAGGCGGTGGTGGCAAACCTCTTTGTCACAGATAAAAAAGAATGGGATAATGACATCATAAATGATAGGGAAAACTGTCAATTACACCCTCGTACTATGGGCGAAACCGCAATTGAGCCCTTCTACTTTGATAACCTTCAATTGAATCCGCCAAATCTCCAAAATCAATCAATTAGGTCTACATTACCGGTTGGTTCCCGGTTAGCCCGTTGCTTGCCTTCCTGGCGCTGACGTGGACTTTGCCTATCGGTCTTTCAGTGCTGACTCACCTAAATCATTTTACTTCCACTATCCACCCCCAATCAACACCACACCGTGCCCTAATTGACGACCTTAATTCGAAGCTCTGCGACATAGCACTCCTCGACATAGTCATCCACTTCTCACCGTCGACCTCGTGACCAACAATGGCCTCCTCGTCTACAGCAACGAGTACAAAAGAGCGAAGAAGCACTACAAATTACGAGCATGCAGTGTACTGTTGGTGTGGATTGAAAGTGCCTCTGTGCGTGGGAAGGGAGAGCGGAAGACAATTCTATGGGTGTCAAAATTGGCTGGTAAAACGTCGAAAGAATTTACATTTTTTCATTTGTTGTGGTTATGTAGGTTGTGCAGGTTATGTAGGTTGTTCGTATTGGTAGTGCATATATAATACTGTAGGTTGTGCAGGTTATGTTTCGAACAAATCTTGTATTGGTAGTGATTTTGAATTTGAAGAACCTGTTCGTGTGATAATAGGTGTGTTTGTATTGTCAACAGGGAGAAGGGTGTGGCTACTTCTTGTGGAAGGATGACATAGGAAGAGAAGACATGATCAGGCCTGGCCAAAAGAGAGATAAGTTTGATGAAGTAAAGACCATGGTTGAAGGTGCTGTCCAACGCTTAAGCTATGTTCAAGCAGATGTAAACACTATAAAAACCGTTCTTGAGAATGAGGTTAAGGCCAGAAAGAGGTGCAGGAAGCTCGTTGTCATAGGGTTGGCTGTATTTCTGTGCTTTGCAACAAATATGTATTCAAGCTATCATAGTTGAATTGTCTTGGATGTAATGGTATCTATGTTTGAAAAAGTTCACCACCAGTTTATTGTCATAGAAAGTGGAATGTAGTGTCATATGGTATCTATGTTTGAACAAGTTTTCCACACGTTTTCATCTTAGGTACTTTTGTATTGTCAAGAATCTAGATTCCTGAAATGTATTCATTGTGTATGTTGTGTGGCATTTCATATACCTGTATACACTTAGAATATGTGTACTATTAAAACTTCAAAATATACACTTAAAACCACAAAGATAAGATCATCTATTATTTCATATACAACTGACATTCAAGTATGGACAATAAGGTGTAGTACACCCATGAAATTCAAGAGCAACTGACATATATTACTGCCAATACTTCAAAAGCAATATTTCTTCAGCAATAATGCATAGTATGATAGTACCTGTTGAACTACAATAATGCAATAAATGACCCCATCAATGGTCATCACAAAAAAAGGTAGTTTGAACCTCGGCCATACATCCATACACCAAAAGCAATCCCAATATAGTACATTATCATTACATCCACCTAATGACAAAAAACTACTTCCATAAATGTTCATTAAAGCAATCCCTCCTCTTGTTCTCCAATCACTGTCTCTCCAGGCTGACCAGGCTGCATATAACATACAAAGCAAAATGAGAAAACATCATTGCCACAAATTGAAATGACTTAAACATACAAGTCAGGTGTGAACTTACTTCCAGAATGGTTTCACCAGTAGCTTCATCGACATACACACCAAACCCTGATTGCCTTCTGCTTGTATTGCCCCTCTTCCCTCTTCCTCCTCTTGGGCGTCTGCCTCTTGCACTTGGAGTCACTGTACCTGCAGTAGTAGAACATGATTTCTTGTTGTGGCCTTCTCCTCCGCACAATGAGCAAGTCATGATGCGCCCTTTTCTTGAGAGTTGTGAAGAACTGGGTGGACGTGCTTCACTTTGTTCCCTTACACGCTTCTTTTTGGGTCTGCCACTCATCTTCTTTGGCAAAGGAGGTAAGATCTCTTCATGCTGGGTTCTAGGCCATAACAGCTCCCCATTGATAGGATGCAATGTGTAGGAGTAAGTTTTATGGTACATCTCCTTACTGTAACAGTTGTCAACGTATGCTTCTGCCTCCTCCCCCTTGTCATAGATGGCACAAATGGCATGGGCACAAGGGATACCACTGAGATCCCACCTTCTACAAGAACATGATCTCTTCTTAAGACTGACTTTGAATTGCCCTCTTCCTTTCTTGATTTCATATCCATCATCACCATTGAAATCCACATTCCATCCTTGACTTGCTAGAATATTAGTATTCAGCTTCTTCATTATTATTGGACCAAATGAACCTGCATAAGATTTGGAAAACAAAAATGCTTAATAAGATTTGATAATCAAATACAATAATCAATAGTACATATTACTGTGTAACCAGACCTGGCCATTTCAGAACATATTTTCTCTTCTTGGCTATCCTTTTCATTGTTGCAACACGAATGTCCTCAAGCATTGGGATCAAAGGCTTGGATCTTGCTTTTAGAAGTGTGCTATTGAAGGCCTCAGACAGGTTGTTCTCAACTGTGTCACACTTCACTGCATCCCTAAAGAAAGCTTTACACCATAACTTGAATGGGTGTTTGCGTAAGTCAATACCTGCTTGAGCATCAGCCTTATCTAGCTCAGCTAAATTAGCTTCCAACTGAGGTTCACATGTTGACTTCGCACACTGCCAAAACAACTTCTTCAGATTCATCCCTCGATGTGCTTTGCTCCAATTACCATGAATATGGCGTGCACAGTTCCTGTGCTCAGAGTTAGGGAAGACTCTGGTAATTGCATTAGCCAGGCCCTACACAAAAAAATATTAACCAAGTCATATCATATACATTAATGGACAACATGTAAGCAGTTATGAAGATACTTAACCTTCTGTTGATCACTGATGAAGGTCCACTCATCTGGGGCATTAACATCCAAGTCATTATGCAGCAACTCCAAGAACCAAGTCCAAGATGAGGTATTTTCTATCTCAACCACAGCCCATGCGATTGGATACATTTGGTTATTTGCATCTCTACCTACAACACTCAATATCTCTCCCTTCATTTGTCCTTTTAAAAAACATCCATCTACACCAATGATCTTCCAACACCCTTCTATAAAACCCTTCTTCACTGGTCCAAAGCAGACATAAATGCGTTGGAATACACTTGGTTGTTCTGGGACAACTCTCACAGTTTTGATGACAACTGTACTATTAGGTATTGACTGAAGGCATTCCTCTGCATAGTTCCTGATCTTTTTGAATTGGTCTTTGAAAGCAGTTTGGTTTTTCTCTTCAATAGCTTTCAAAGCTCTGCTGGCCATGCTTTCAGACACATTGATTTTATACTCAGCCTTGATAAGATTTTTCAATTCCACTGCACCCATTGATGGATTCTCAACCACTTTCTCCTCATACATGTCAGCTACCCATTTGGTGCACACTATTCTCAGCTTATACCTCAGATTGCAGCTATGTCCTTCTTTGAAAACTTTGACCTAATAACACTTCAATCTCTCCACCCATGAAATTGTTAAAGAAAAAGGGCAAGTTTTCCCACATTTCACTCTCACTCTCTCAGGCTCATTTTTGTTGAAATACAAATCTCTTTTTTCAAACACAGCATATTTAATGACTGCCTTCTTAAATTGCTTTCCATCTTCAAACAACATGCCAACATCAAAACTTGGGGGCTCTGATTCAGGATTAAATGAAGCATACCTGTTGTCTGACCTTTTACACCTCCCAGAATCATCCTCATCCTCAACCTCAGACATGTAGTTGTGGGGATTAGATGAATCATACTCTGTACTGTTCTCCTCATTCTCACTATCATTACACGTGTTTGCCCCCTGTTGTGTAGGTATGTGTTCAGAGCCCAGTATATCTTCATTGACCTCATCCTCATCTCTCTCTTGATGGTCAGTTGATGCAGCTTTTTCTGTCTCAGATTCTTCTTCCATCCATGACTCATCTGCCTCAGAGTCTTCTGACATCCATGATTCATGTGTCTGACCTTCATATGCCTTCCATGATTCATCTGAACTGACATTGGACTCCTCATCTTCAACAACAACATCTTCATGAATATGGGCACCTGTTTGTTGATGTTCACTTGCTCCAGGCTCATCTTCAGGAACATGGTCTTTGTTTGTACCATCAATTGGGGGCTCCACTCTAGTCACATCAACTTCAGGTTGAGATGCCTCAGGTGCAGGCAGAAGTTCAACCAATTCCACCTCATCTAAGCCATGTTCCACAAATATGTCACACTGTCCACAACTAGTAGCCTGCTCTATGAGATGAAGGGTTGACTTATCATCACACAACTGTCTTAAAGATTTCATACTCTGCCTTGGTTTTTTGTAATACAGAGCCTTAATGTTACCATAACTACCCGTTTTTAGGCACTTAATTAAATGAGGATAGCAAATCAAATCTGGGTCAATTGGTAAGACATCAACTTCACCACCTACGTATATTATCTCAGGAATATACTTAAAATTTCCTCCATGGTGAATGATTAGTTCAACCTTGTCAAACATGCTGTACATATGAAAATATTGAAATCAGATTTGGGAATGTGTAAATTTTTATTAGATAAAGAACAATGACCCAAATGAACGTTTCTAAAGTGCAAATGACTATCGCTTCACGTAATAATATCATCACAATAGCAACATTCATGCGAAAAATACGAACACAAATATCCAACCTCATGTAAATACGGTGGACTTACAACTGTAAACTAACCTGGCGTTAGTCTTCTTCACGTGGACGGTGAGAAGTGGATGACCAGCGTCGAGGAGTGCTATGTTGCTTATCTTCTCGCAGAGCTTCGAATTAAGGTCGTCAATGAAGGTTAGGGCACGGTGTGGATAGTGGAAGTAAAATGATTTAGGTGAGTCAGCACTGAAAGACCGATAGGCAAAGTCCACGTCAGCGCCAGGAAGGCAAGCAACGGGCAAACCGGGAACCAACCGGTAATGTAGACCTAATTGATTGATTTTGGAGACTTGGCGGATTCATTTGAAGGTTATCAAAGTAGAAGGGCTCAATTGCGGTTTCGCCCATAGTACGAGGGTGTAATTGACAGTTTTCCCTAAATGATATTTTTGAAGAAAGAGATGCTTCCTTGATCAAAAGCTTGCCTCTGAGCAGACGACATATCCCAGACCTGTTATGTTGGAGATGGGAGGAAAGTGGCCATTTTTCGGTTAAAAGTTGCTATCGACGTTTGGTGGGAGAGATGGGGGGTTTGGAAGATTTAGATTGGACGACCATGTGGTCATGTGAGCTTCCTCCTAAAATTAAATTTTTTTTTGGCAGGTTTGTAGCGGATGCCTCCCCTTGAGAGATAATTTACAAAAGCGCCGAGTGGACTGCCCGGATTTTTGTGGATTATGCGGAGATGCCAGGGAATCTGCAGAGCATATTTTCCGACTTTGTTCAGTCGCCCGTGAGGCCTGGGAAGCTATGTCCTTGAAGTGGACCGAGGGGACTGTTTTGCCATTTGTGGAGCAAATAAATCTGGAATTCCGGAATAGGAGAAAGGAGACTCTGGAGAAGCTAGTGTGGGGTTGTTGGGCTCTCTGGTGCGAGCGGAATCAACGCGTATGGCTGGGGAAATCTTCCTCAATGCAGCAAATTATCCATAGAGCACAATCCATGGTTGATGGTTGGTCTCAAGCACACGCAGCAAGAAGAGTTAAGGTGCAAAGGGAGCTTTCTGCGACTTCTTCGTGGTGCAGACCTGCAACAGGAAAAATGAAACTTAATGTTGACACAGCGGTGCGAACGAATGGTGGCGGGCTAGGCTGGTGTGTTCGAGATGATAGAGGCAGGTTCGTTGCGGGGGCTGCTCTTCCATGGCCAGGAAGCTTATCACCGTTAAGTGCTGAACTTGTGGGAGTTCGTGAAGCTCTAAGTTGGGTCAAGGACAACGGTTGGCTCGAGATAGAGGTGGAGTCTGATGCATCCCGAGCTATTTCAGAGATATTACATGGATCCAGTTGTTCGTTGGTTGGTTTTTTGGGTGAAGACATAAGATATTTGGCGAATTATTTTTCGAGCATTTCTTTTTGTCATATTAAGCGATCAGCGAATAAGCCAGCTCATGCGTTAGCTAGTGCTGCTTGTTCTATGTTTGATTTGCAATCTTGGTTTTATTCTTTTCCTGATTTTATTATATCTGTGTTGGACAATGATTCGATTAATATTAATTAATTTTTCTTCTTGCAAAAAAAAATTAATAAAACTAAAAAAAGGACGCATAGTCCTAAGTTCCGAAAACAAACTCCCCTCGCAAAATCCGAAACAGATCTTTCTAGTGGAGTGCGGTGCTTCCTCTTGTTGCCGGCGTCGTTCCTCTCCACCTTCGCAGGAGAAAAGGAATATAATCACTGGATTTACCTCTGCCACCGCCGGATTCATCCGTCAAAACCCTAACACCCTTATTCAGTCTACCGTGCATCTCCGCCTCTGCCTGAAAAGCCAGGTGCTTTTGAATATCGTGTCTAAACTAGATATCACTCGTGCTAAGGTTTCACTAGTTCTTTTTCTGATTCCATGATTGCATTTAGTCTTGAACTCCATATCCCTCTTTTTCCTAACCTCATTTTTCAGGAAAGAAAAGTGAAGTTAAAGCATTGAATTTGCGGGAAAAAATGGCCTCAGAGGATGGCCGGGACAACTTGGCTGAATCACTTAATGACCTATTCACCCATGTTTCGAAGATGGTCAAAGGCGAGCTTTATGTATGTCAAGCGCCCAATTCTGAGATTATTATCTTTTACATAAGAGTTTATTAAATATCATTTCAAGCTTGAATTTTTTAGATGTTTTGCTTCTGACATACTTCAAATTGGAAATGTGGGCATAGTGAGTATATAGCTGGATACTTGGGGCAACCTATGTACTCTCTTTGAGTTTCGTTTGAACTTAACTTGTGAATTGGGACAACATTTTAAAACTTATGATTTTATACTAAAATGTCAATTTAATGAGGGAGTGGAGTAAGACCTAAATGATGTTTTGTAATGAGGGATGACTTAACATAGTGTTTGCTTGGAGACATTATGTATTTATAGCCCATGGTTTTTGTTTTTGTCAAACTCTAATTTGGTTTACTGCACGGACTGAATTAATTGATAATGAATTAAATGGTGCAGTGGGTACTTTTTGTATTGGTGTGGTCTATATCAATGAAATTAACACAGCGAAATCAGTCATTTAAAACAAAAATCAGTCCCACTAAACGGGCACTTAGCCTTTGAAAAAAGGTTGCCTTAAAAATTCGGTTTTCATAAAAGTGGCATTCCTTGTTGTGGCTGCTTCTTTGGCTTTCATGAAAGCTAACAAATATGATGTTGATCAAATCACAGGAAACTAACAATCTACTTGAACTTTTGGAGAAAATGAATTCAAGAGTTGGTGAAGAATATAAAGGCTTTGGTGATCTGGCTTCTGGTTTGAGAGTTTTTGTTGAGCAGCTCAAGTCCAAAAGCAGCAACTTTGATGAGTATGTGCACCAGATTGATGCAATAGAGCGGCAAGTAACTGAACTTGAAGTTGTCATATCCATGCTTGATAAGTATGTTTCTTTGTTGGAATCAAAAGTAGAGTCCGTATATCATGTTCCATCTTCATGACTACATTGTTTAATGAATTTCTCGTTCTTTAACTTTTGTTTGTATTGATCCATCTTACAAACTTTTCTCTCTTATACATCAAATTATATAAGACTATTTCGTCACACATAGGCTACTTTTGATGTATGTGATGGTAGCAAGCAATTTGTGTCCTAGTTACTATATTAGAGCCATGTATTTCCCTCATTACATATCCAAAATGCTTACGGTGGAACTATGTTTCATATAAGAGACCAAGAAACTACCATAATAATCAAGATGTTAAATAGCCCTACACAAGTCATATATAAAAATACAAACCAATGTGTATGGTTTTGAGTAAGTCCCGCTATGAGAGTGACCTTTTAGGGTGTTTTTAGTCGGACTAAAATTTTCTGGTCTAGCCTGATTTGCTCTGTTTTGGTTTGTTTAAATCTGGTCTAATTTGACCCAGTCTGTTTATGTCTGGTTTGGTATGGGATTGAAACCAATCCAAGTAAAACACCCTTAAGATGCAATCCCAAAGCATTATTCAGTATGTGAGTTTATTAAATTCAAAGGAACAATTGATCTGACCAAGACACAAGAGTGAATGCACATATTTTAATATTAGTTTGCTCCAACGAATCACTATCGAGATGTTAAGTCTTCCAACATAAGCCTTAAGTTAGTGCTCCTATTATGTTGAACTTGGGAGATTTCCCAAAATAGGAGTAATTGGAGTTTGGAATTCTAAAATAGGACTATTATGTTTTTATTCCCGAAATAGAACTAACATGATAGTATTTACTCCGTACTGCTTACTGTCATCTTGTAGGTGTGACTAGGGCTGGGTTCGGTTCGGGTACCAAACCGATTAGGGTTAACCCGAAACCGAACCGACATTTCGGTTATCCAAATAACCATAACCGAAACCGAACCGTTCAAAACAGGTACCGAATTATCGGAAACCGATATTTCGGGTCGGTTTACCAAGACCCGAGTCCAAAACCGACTTTCAATATTTAAACAAAATATTTGAACTTTTCAATACACTATGCCCAACTTTCAAAAGAGCAAGCCCAATTTCAGCCCAAGTTTTCAAAAGTGAGACCAAATTCACTTTGCCTGAATATCTCATGGATTATAAAGGACTTTCACGGATGTATTGTAGAGAAAACATCACTATATAGTTGCTTTTGAGGAGTAAGTTCTCTCATTTCTCCGGTGTGGGACAAAGTAATGTGGAAACAAAATTGAAGGAAACATGAGATTAAAAAACGAACGGCTGGTCATCATCTATGTCGATGAAATAGAAGGGTAGGCGACTGCATGGATCTCAATTCAGAGTGGATCTGCAACGGTGCATCAACACGGAGTGAATCTCAATATGGGGTGCGCCCGTCTCCAACGACAGCGACCATACAACTCCAGACGACGGAAACTCCTTAGCTTCCTTCTCAGTCGACTTGCTCTTCTTTTTAATTAACAAAACGATGTAGTTTTGGGATCGACACACCATGCGCATGGTGGGTTGATCCCACGGCATAATTTGCGCATTCACGTAGTAAATCAGTGGTACCAATATAGGAAAAACTAAGAAGATTGGGAAACAAGGTGCGATGAAAACGATCGAATGGCTACTGCTCTCATGCACCCTAAGGAGATATATGCTTGAGAAGAGAGAAAGAAGGGCGGATCGCCTTTGCTAGAGAGGGGAAGATAGAGAGTTATCTGGAGAATGAGACTGGAAGGACTAAAAGTTACGTACTCCCTCCATCCCTTAAAACTTTGTCATCTTTCCTTTTTGGGATGTCACAGAAAACTTTGCCACTTTCCCTTTTAATCAATTATTTTGTGATTTTGTTATTTCTCTCTCCTCTACACAAACCTCAACCACACAGTTTTTACTTTATTATTCTCTGTGCCGGTCAACTTTGGCAAAGTTTTAAGGGACAGAGGTAATATCTTTTAAGGTTAAACTTTGTCAAAATCGCATTAGCATTGCTTTCATTACTGTTAGTCACTACCGGAGAAGGAAGCAACTTGTTGTCACTGATCGACCGTCTTCATTCTTCACTCGTCAGAAAATGACACGCATGGAAGACAGGAAGAGAAGAAGAAAAATAGTACTCCGTACAAATAACAAGGAAATAATATACGACTCACGCACATATAGGCATGGACCGGGCTCGGGCCGGTTCAAGCCAGGGTTTTTTCCAAGAAGTTGGGCCCGGAACTGGCCCGGGTTGATACCGGGTCCGGGCCAAACCGGTCTGGGCCGGTCCAATGTATAATTTTTTTTGCTTTCTAATCAACCCCCGACCCCCCCCCCTCACCCCCACCCCTCAAACCTCCCCAAAACACCCAGCCCTACCCAATGAAAAGAAGAAAAAAATTGAAAAAACAAAAACGAAAAAAATGAACTGGGCTCGTGTAACACCCTGGGGCCCCACACGGACCCGAGGTAGTTACTCTAGACCTCTAGTACTGTCCCCACAAACCACCACGAGCCTTTACCGCGCACTTTGTCCTCACTCATGCGTGCCCTGAGAAACTTCCCAGGGGGTCACCCATCCCAAGACTACTCTCGTGCAAGCACGCTTAACTTTGGAGTTCTTGGGTGATGAGCTCCCTTAAAAGGAGATGCACCTCTGTTGGTATGAGTAGTACTATTAATCCTCTTAAATTAATCTCGGGTATTACAATCACCCCCAATTAGGATCGCAACGTCCTCGTTGCGCCCTTAAACCAATCTCAATCAACCCCCAGAATCTTGCCCCGCTAAGTGACCGCCCGATATCCAACGGGTCAGCACACTGTCGCAGGGTTGCTCTGATACCACCTGTAACACCCCGGGGCCCCACACGGACCCGATGTAGTTACTCTAGACCTCTAGTACTGTCCCCACAAACCACCACGAGCCTTTACCGCGCACTTTGTCCTCACTCATGCGTGCCCTGAGAAACTTCTCAGGGGGTCACCCATCCCAAGACTACTCCCGTGCAAGCACGCTTAACTTTGGAGTTCTTGGGTGATGAGCTCCCTTAAAAGGAGATGCACCTCTGTTGGTATGAGTAGTACTATTAATCCTCTTAAATTAATCTCGGGTATTACAATCACCCCCACTTAGGATCGCAACGTCCTCGTTGCGCTCTTAAACCAATCTCAATCAACCCCGAGAATCTTGCCCCGCTAAGTGACCGCCCGATATCCAACGGGTCAGCACACTGTCGCAGGGTTGCTCTGATACCACCTGTAACACCTCGACCCCGTAGGACCCGAGGTAGCTACTCTAGACCAATAGTAATGTCCTCACAAACCTCCACGAGCCTTTAACGCACACTCTGTCCTCACTCGTGCGCGCCCTGAGAAACTTCCCAGGGGGTCACCCATCCCAAGATTACTCCCGTACAAGCACGCTTAACTTTGGAGTTCTTGGGTGATGAGCTCCCTTAAAAGGAGATGCACCTCTGTTGGTATGAGTAGTACTATTAATCCTCTTAAATTAATCTCGGGTATTACAGCTCGGCCCGGACCGCCAGGGCCGATTCAAGAAAAATAGGGCCCGAACACGACCCGTCAGGCCCGCCCAACCTGGGCTAAAGCCCGGAACTGGCTATCCGGACCCGCACAGTAGCGGGCCGGTCTGGTTCACGGCCCGTTCGGCCCGGTTCGGTCCACCCCTACGCACATATGAGTTGTTAAAGGGAAAACACGACTGTGGGTTGCGGTAGATGTTTTGATCACGTGGGTAGAAGCTGAACATGATTAGAAGAAATGTCTTTACTAGGGGGTTTGACATTGACCGGGCATCAACAAAGGTTCAGTTTGTGACCCAACAAGGGCACAAACTCATAGGATTCGAGAATAGTGACCCGATGTGAATCTATGGTGTGTGACTGTGGTGGCACATACTCGTGCAAGGACCGTGATCTGGCTTGAAAGTGGATGACATAAATAGGGTGGAAACATAACTAGGTCTCGGGTGATTGAGATGCATAGGGTTTTATATAGAGAGTGGACTTCGACTGAGGATCATAAGCATGTGTTCAGGTATTTGCCTCGTGTGGCAATTGATTTAACTAAGTAGTATTTTCTGTTTCACCTAATGCACACTTGAGTTTAAATTTTTATTCTGCACATTCCAATATCATCTAATGCACATTTTAGTTTCACTAAATGCACAATTCAGTTTCACATGATACAATCCAACAGTCCAGATTCATTCTCATTTCTCTCCTGGGAGTCCGTTCTTACCGAATAAAGATGCAGGGGTGGGATCACATACAAACTAGTCATCCCATTCAAATCATATTTACATTATTTGTATTGCACATTGAAGTTCAAAGTGTTTCATATTATTCAAGCCATAAAATAACAGTTTCATACTTACATTATTTGTATTGCATATTGAAATTCAAAGAGTGCATCTTTACATTATTTGTAGTGCATCTTGATGTTCAAAGTGTTGCATATTATTGAGTTTGTAGGTTAGTAAGTTAAGCATGGTTTGTATGTGGTCTCACCCCTGTGTGTGTAGCATGGCTTAAGTAGTCAGCCAGGCTAGTCCACGTGTCTCTAATTGGGCTAGGCCTGGATGAGCTTACAAAGGAAAAATAATAAATTCTTTATGGCTGGGGCTGTAATTTTCCTATTCAGTGTAACAAGAGCTGTTGGGCTTAAAGAATTCTAATAAAACGTCTTCCTTAAAGTCGGAGTGATTATAACTATATGTATGTATCTTATAACTTTATTTAGGTTTTATTAGAGATTACCTAAATGTTAAAGCATTGTTGTGATGGTGTATGAAGACATAGAGTTGTTAAGAAAAAAATCAATTTTGTTCACTCCTTAATGGAGGGTGATGTTCATCGTCACTCGGTTGTTTGTCATGTGACATGGGAGTTCTTTATTATTTGACAACCGTTTTAACTTTTTCATTTTTAATTTATTTTTATAAAAAAATATCAATTTTTTATTTTTTACGATCTTTCATGTGGTACCAAATATTGCCTATGTAAAAATAAAAAAAATCCGGCTAAAAATAGATATTAAAACATAGATTTTTCACCCAATTTTTTTATATACGATATTGGTACCATTGGAAAGATTATTAAAAAGTATTAAATCTAATATATTATTTATAAAAATGGGACCATAAATCAAAAAAGTTATAACATTGTTTTTAAAAAATGAAATGTGATGCCACATGACACCAAGGGAGGGAGGAA